GACCAAGCATGGGCATCAAGCACGGCTGACTCACGATGCAGAGAGCCAGGTGAGCAACAGCAGACCCGGGTCACAAAGCCACAGGAGCAGGGAATGCAGAGGGGGGACGGGGCACAGGAAAACTGCTGGGAGCTGCTGTGGGAGGAGGAGGTGCTTACAGGACTGCACAGAATCTCAGGGCCTGGTGCCAAAAAAACCCACAAGAGCCCTGCTTCCAAATTATTAAGAATTTCAAAACAGCATTAGCAGAGCAGAAAGCCAAGCTGGGACCTTTCTGAGAGCGAGCTCTTGCAGGGCTGCGTGCCTGCAGAACTGGCCTTGGGCATCCAGCCGTTGGGGCCGCTCCCTTTCAACCACGTTGACTCTGGAAAACCATTTCCACAAAGTCCTCTGAGCGGTCTGGGAAATAAGAATTTCAAGGCCCTGTAGGCATGAGTATCCACATTATCACCTTCTCTTATTCTCCCTAAACGCTGGGCTTGGTCAGAACTGGGAGATTTCGATTGAGGTGAGGTCTCACAGATCAAACGTTAGAAGGCAGAGGTCCACATTTTGCCAGCCAAGCTGTTCCTCCCTGTGTTGAGGGAGGGGGAGAATGAGCAATGACCAAGCAGCTACTCTGCACTGGACACCATGTTTCCCGTGTTGGCACAAACCCACTGACTTGATCGTGGGGAGCTGGTGGGATGTAATCCAATGTTCACTTACTGCCAAAGTGAGGAACAAGAAGTGAATACTGAGTTGTACTTTTCCCCCCATCAAATCCTTGCGTTGCAAAAGTTATTGCTGTCAAAACATAAAACAAATACTTAAGTACAAAATAAATGCCTCACATTTAGGGTTGGCATGCCCAAGGTAGCCTAGCGCCCCGTCGATTTTTCGCCTTATAAACTTCTCAGCTCAGTCACTTAACAAGCCAGAGAGGGCAGAGAGTGGGAAGGAGTCCTCCCTCACATAAAAGCATTTTATCTCCAGATGGATCAGAAGCAAGCATGAATGTTAAAAGTCAGGGAAGAAAGCCGCCTGGTTTTTTCAAGACAGAAAAAAAACAGAAGCCTAGAGTTGGGGAGCGTTACCTTTCCCACTGGGGATCCAGTGCTGAGAGAGACTCCATGGCTCGGGTGAACAGGGGAATTGGAGTTTCATTGAAGGCAGAGCTCAGCCTGGCAGAAAGAACCAGAAAAAAACAAGCCAAACAGATGGTCGGGAGCAAGAGCGACTCTCGCTAATGTGGAGCAAAATGAAAAAAAAAAAAAAACCTTTCTCTGGACCAAAACTGCTCATGAATTAGATATCATTCTAAACAGGCAGCCATATACACGTTTACAAACTGGATGAGGACATAAAGGAAACAAGCATTTCTTTGAGCTCAAGTCATAAACTGTGAAACATACCTATAAAAAACTTATAAAGTGGGGATTGCTTATAATCTAAAAACGCCACTTTCTCCATTAGACAGTATTTTTCTTTTTGCCTTTTTGATTTTTTTAATTAGAGTGTCCGACCCAGGGTGAAGTATTTAGAGCAAATAGGCATGATATCTCCCAACTTATTTGTATATATATATACGTGTGTGTGTGGTGGTGTGTGTGTGTGTGTGTGTGTGTAAATAGAGAAAAAAATGATAAGCAATTGAGTAAAATATAAACAATTGGTGAATCTGGAGTATTCAGGGGTTTCTTGTTCTATTCTTGCAACATTTCTATCCATTTAAATTTAGACAAAATCAGAACTTGTAGACAAATAAAAGAGGAAACCAGCCACCATTCTGTGAAGCCTCTGTCCCTAAAACAAAATACTTACAAAATCATTTAAATGCCAGTTCCAGACTTATTCTTGTAGATGTATGCATAAAGTATGCACTGTGACATAAATGTAATTTGGAATCATGCCAGATACACTGACCAGCACTGGAGAAAGAAAAATGCAATCCCTGCTTTCCTGCCAAGCATTTGGGGTGCTCACAGCCCAGACAGAGCACCCAGGGCGAAGGGAGGAGGTGGGGACCTCAGCTGTGGGGTTTCTCTTTTCATTCAGTCTAAACCCAGGAACTTAGCAAGACTGAAGTGAAGAATCACAAATTAATTCCCAACCTGTTCCCTGGAAAATCACTGCAGTGCACCTAAGAATACGGAAGTAACTGGAAAGAGAGAGAGAGCATTTTCCAGCTGTCTTAAAGTGACTAGGGATCGAGTCACAGCTCCACTATGGAGGAGACCAGACAGCCAAGTACTGACAGCCACAGACTGACCCAGCGAGGTGCTAAGAATCATGAGGGTGGCAGCAGGAGCACCATTAACACCTCTGAGTGCCCTTGAGTGCCAGGCTCTGTGCAGGCAACTCACCTGCAGCACCTCATTAAATACTCCTGGGCATCCCATCTGCTGGGACACTTATGTCCTCAGAGACCTATGGGCAAAACACAGACTTCTCAGTGAGGGCTTTTCTGACCACCCTACTTAAAATTGCAAGCATTTCCCCATCACCCGTTGCCACCACTCTCCTCCCTGCTAGAAATTCCTCCTTAGCACTGGTCGTACCTTCATCCTCTGTCTCCCCTATTACTTTTCCAGCACCCATGGGGTCAGGAATTTGTGTGTTTCTTTCCATGCCACATGTCCAGTGCCTAGAACTGTGCCTGGCACACAATAGGCACTCAACAAAGAGTTGTGGAAGGAAGAAGTGGCCGGGGCAGGGAAGACACACTCTCACCTGTTGCCTTCAATCTCGATGATACGATGGTACCGGTCCAGCTCATTCTTCAGGGTTTGCTGGGCGACCGCCAGCTGCCGGCAGTCGTAAGAAGATTTCTCCAGGACCCGCTCCGTCTCCTCAATCTCCTTGCGCAGTGTCTCAATCTGCTCGTTATAAAGCTGAATCTCATCGTCATAACACTCGTGGGCACTTTTAATAGCTTGTTCCAGAGTTGTTGTCTGCGGGCAAGGACACGCTGTAAGAAAATCCATCCCCCTTCTCCCCTAAGAGACAGACCTCACCAGGAAAAGGAACCTGGACTCGGTGAATGTTTTATTTTGTTTGTGTGTTTCTCTGTCCATTAGAGATTAGCAATGAATCACGTTGGAATCCTTAAGCTAAAAAGCAATATGAAAACTAAGCTTCTATGTCCTTGAACAATTTTTTTTTTTTAATGGCGGATCCCACCTTGCCACGAGGCAGGGGTGCTATCACAGCTCACTGCATCCTTAACGTCCCAGGCTAAAGTGATCCTTCCACCTCAGCCTCCTGAGTATGTGCTGGGACTACAGGCAAGCACCAACGTGCTGGGTTTTTGGTTTTGTTTTTTGTTTTTTGGTGGTGGGGGTAGAGATAGGATCCCGCTTTGTTGCCCAGTCTGGTTTCGAACTCCTGGCTTCAAGTGATCCTCCCATCTCGGCCTCCCAAAGTGCTGGAATTACAGGTGTGAGCCACCACACCCAGCCCGTCTTGCACTTATGTTAGCACCCTGTGTAATTAACCCAAAAAGAGGCCTGCCCCAAAGGCAGTCTGAAGACAAACCTAGAAAATAAAAACAAAATCTAGGCCACGGGGCTCACCCTGTGTAATCCCAGAACTTTGGGAGGTCAAGGCCAGTAGATCACTTGAGGACAGGAGTTTGAGACCAGGCTGGCCAACATAGTGAAAGCCATCTTTAACTAAAAATACAAAAGTTAGCCGTGTGTGGTGGCACACTCCGTAGTCCCAGCTACTCGGGAGGCTAAGGCAGGAGAATCATTTGAACCTGGGAGGCAGAGGTTGCAGTGAGTCAAGACTGCGCCACTGCACTATCGCCTGGGCAACAAAGCAAGACTCTGTCTTAAAAAAAAAAAAAAAAAAAAAAAAAAAAAAAAAAAAAAAACCTGTTATCCATGGAATAAGATACATAATTCAAACAAAGTACATTCTTCAGACTTTAATGAATTAGCATAAATCTGATAGCCAAAAAATAAGTAAAAAGAAGAGCATACTGAATAGATAAGATGGTACTTTTATTAAAATACTGAGTGGGAGAAAAGTTTCCTTGTTCTCATTAGTCACTATGGTGCTTTGATTTTCTCCCGAGTTTGGATTGGCGGAATTATGTTATGTTTTGGTAGTTAAGGTGTGTGAGTGTCTGCACGTGTGTACATGTAAAATAATGTCAGAGAAATATGTGAATCAGAGCAACTAAAAATTAAGGCAGTAAAATAGAAAGAGGTAGTTTTATATTCTGTGTAAGAGTTTGTGATGATACATAAAGACCTGTAAATGCTCAGTCATGTGCCACCTAACAGTACCCTCAGTCGACAATGGTCTGCGTATGGGATGGTGGTCCCATAAGAGTATAATGGAGCTGAGCAATTCCTGTCACCTAGTAACAACCACAGCCATCCTAGGGCAGTGGAGACACACATCACTCACATTATCTGTGGGGACGCCAGCGTAAACAAACAGACTGTGCTGCCAGCTGCATCATGAAAATGTGGAGGCTGGGTGTGGAGGCTGACACCTGTAATCCCAGCACTTTGGGAGGCTGAGGCAGGCAGATCACGAGGTCAAGAGATTGGGACCGTCCTGGCCAATATGGTGAAACCCAGTCTCTACTAAAAATACAAAAATTAGCTGGATGTGGTGGCACATGCCTGTAGTCCCAGATACTCAGGAGTGTGAGGCAGGAGAATCACCTGAACCTAGGAAGTGGAGGTTGCGGTGAGCTGAGATCACGCCACTGCACTCCAGCCTGGAGACAGAGCGAGACTCCGTCTCAAAAAAAAAAAAAAAAAAAAAAAAAAAGGCTAGCACATGCAATTATGTACAACACATAATACTTGACAATGATAATAAACTGCTGTGTTACTGGTTTACATATTCACTATACGACACTTTTTCTCATTATTTTGGCATGTAGTCCTACTTACAACAAAATGTTTATGGTAAGACAGTGACACCGCATTACCCCCGCCGCAGCCTCCTGCAGCTCACGTTCCCCACATATTTTGATTGCAATATGTTCTCTTGTGCTTGATCAAATGTTATTATAAAAGAGTCAAGAAAGCTTAAAAAAAAGTTTTAAAGTATGTAAAGTAGAGGCCAAGGTGCTTGTGACTCTTTTCCAATCTCAGTTTTGAGCGGGAAAGAATTTGACATTCATGGTCCCCCAAAATAAAACAAAACAAACAAAACCACCCTTCTACCTCTGCAGCCCTTCTGGAGCTCGCTGTGCACTGGAACCGCCTGAGGGTGTTAAGAGCCTGACTCGGCAGGGATGAGGGGCCAGAGACTCTGCCTTGTTCACCAACTCCCACATGATGTTGAGGCTGCCTGTCCATGGGCCACACTTTGAGCCACAAGGGTGAGACAGGCATCTATATTCAACTTCATGTGTGTCCACTACAGGCATGTCCTACGTCCAGACCTAAATGTACCTACTGGACATCTCGGAAGACAATCATTGCCATCGAAACCCAGATCTTCACTTTACCACCTTTATGCCCTTGGATTATGAAATTCCTTAAGTGAAAATGTAGTTTTCAAAGGTGTTCAGCAAGATGGCCAGGCCTAGTGGCTCACACCTCTAATCCCAGCACTTTGGGGGCCGAGGCAGGCAGATCACCTAAGGTCAGAAGTTCAAGATCAGCCTGGCCAACCTGGCGAAACCCTGTTTCTACTACAAATACAAAAATTAGCCAGGCATGGCGGCCAGTGCCTATAATCTCGGCTACTCAGGAGGCAGAGGCTGCAGTGAGCTGAGATCATGCCACGGCACTCCTACCTGGATGACAGAGCAAGACTCAAAAAAAAAAAAAAAAAAAAAAAAGGTGTTCAGCCATAGATCTGCTGCATCAGGAAGGAGGAGGGAAGAAAGGGCACGTTGGGGAGATGTCTGTCCAGTCTGCGTTGTCCCTGTGTCTGATGTCAGCCCCACCCATCCACAGGCAGAGTCCCACCAACAAGGTAACTCCATTCTCCTGTGCAGTTATAGGAGCAGGGGTGGGCCTGACCCAGGCTGGCCTGTCACACTCTTTCTCTCCTGGAACTCTGGAAAGGGGTCTCAGAAATTGCAGACCCTGTGGCAGGTTCTGGACTACAGAGGCACACGAACAGGTCTGAGGCTGCCGCTCTGGAGTGCCGAGCTCTCGTGTGCATGGCACAGCTGAGAAAGGTAAGTCTCTGGGGAGGAAAAGAAGCCAAAAGGCAAAGACAAACAGAAATTAAACAGGCAGCCATGGCCAGAGAAGGAAGAGGAGGAAAAGGAGACAGAGAACAGCTGCCTCAGATCCCAGTTCCTGGTTTCTAATTCCTGACGCACACCTGCTCTCAGATTTCATGCCCTGCCTTTTATACCCTGCTCCTTTGGGGGGTTTGGGGGAGGAAGGACCTTTCCAGTGGAGAAACCTGGCAGATAGCACCTTAACCAGGCAATCAGAGTTAATGTCACCCGTATGAGGACACATCCACATGACGCAATGCTCAGGACACAGCGTCACTGCATGGGAGTCTTGCCAAGAAGGCAGAACCTCCATCTGATCCTGAGAAAATGTCAGGGAAACCCAAAAAGAGAGATGTGCCACAAAGCCACTGGTCTGGGTTCTTCCAAAGCATCAGGGCCATGAAAGACAGAGAAAGCCTGGGAAACGATCCTAGTCTGGGGGAGACAAGCAAGACATGACATCTAAATGTAAGTAGGATCTGGACTAGGAAAAGCACAAATGGGGCAACTGGTGAGATGTTAGTGCAGTCTACTAATAGGATAGGATCCTTGTTAATTTCCAGGTTTTTATCATCGGCCCATGGTTTGGTGAAAGCTGGGTGAGGATTATATATTGAAAACCGCTGTGCTGTTTTTGCAACTTTTCAAAAATCTAAAGTTACTTCTGAATAAAACAAGAGTCCCCTTCCTGTTTCGGCTAGTGTGATCTGGTTTCTGTTCCTTTCAAGAAATCTGGATTCAAACAGTCGCCTGTAACGTCAAATACAAGCCACACTAACGCCTGGTGCAGCACATCTCACCCACACCAGAGTGCTCACGCACTCTAGGAAACACTTCCGAGGAAAAAGGAGATTTAAAAGACCCCTTTGAGGCCCAAATCTTAAAGAAGCGTTGGAATTACATGGTGGGGGAAGTGTGTGGGGCTGTGGAGGACATAAGAGGGGCCATGTGTTGGGGGATGGGGTGGGAGTGCGCATGAGACAGACTATTCTCACTTTTTTCTTTTGAGACAGGGCCTCACTCTATTGCCCAGGCTGGACTGCCGGGCTGCCATCAGAGCTTACTGAAGCGCTGCATCCTGGGCTCAGGCAATCCCCCATACCTTTGTCTCCTCAGTAGCTGAGACCATAGGTGCATGCCACCATGCCCGGCTAATTTTTTGTAAAAATTTTTTGTAGAGATAAGGTCTAACTATGTCGCCCAGTCTTTTTTTTTTTTTTTTTTTTTTTTTGAGACGGAGTTTCGCTCTTGTTACCCAGGCTGGAGTGCAATGGCGCGATCTCGGCTCACCGCAACCTCCGCCTCCTGGGCTCAGGCAATTCTCCTGCCTCAGCCTCCTAAGTAGCTGGGATTACAGGCACGCACCACCATGCCCAGCTAACTTTTTGTATTTTTAGTAGAGACGGGGTTTCACCTTGTTGACCAGGATGGTCTCGATCTCTCGACCTCGTGATCCACCCGCCTCGGCCTCCCAAAGTGCTGGGATTACAGGCTTGAGCCACCGCGCCCGGCCTGTCGCCCAGTCTTGAACTTCTGAGCTGAAGTGATCCTCCGACCTTGGCCTCCCAAAGTACTGGGATTATAGGCATGAGCCAATGTGCCTGTAATCTCTCACTTTTCTATGTTTGAAATCTTCCATGATAAAGAGTAAAAGAAAATATTACATATGAAGAGAATGTACCCCAGATCCCTGACCCAGGAGCTCTGGGGCGGCCATCCCCTTTGGATGTGGCTTCCGCAGCCCAG